CTGGTTTCTCTGGGGAAGGAGGAAGTATATGAGGTGTCATCCTGACAGGGGTCTAGTGGCAGTCAGCCCAACAAGGTCATGCAACAGAGCCTTTCAAGGCCATTTTCTTGGACTCTCCTCCCGGTTCCTGATGAGATTCTACTTTGATCCACTGTCCAAGTCCAGGCTCCATCTCCTACTTACACCCCCCCCCCTTTTTATTGCTAATTGCGTATGGTGTTTATACTGAGTCTCTCCAGTCCCTGTTCTTACAAAGATCCTGGATTGGATTTGCCTCCCTGGCTCTGCCCGACTGAGATGACCTTGTGTAGTACAATAGTCAACAACACATGTTCGGCACCTACTATGTGTGTCAGGCACCCCACTAAAGCTTTAAACCCATTCTCTCATTTAATCTTCTCAACAACCTCTTGAGGTAAATGTTATTTTGCAATTTACATAGGAAGTAATTGAGGCTCCAAGGATAATTTTCTCAAAGTCACACAACTAGTTTGTGGTGAAGAACCAAGAATTGAACCTGGATCTGTCAGACTATCGGCTCTAGGCTCTTAACCACTTCTCCCTTTTATCTTCTCAGTCCTCATCCTGTGGTCTGATGTGTGGAGGGATTGGAAGATAGTTCAGCACATGCAAATCTCTCATCCCTTTAGTTTCCAAGCTTCGAGCTGCATGGCAGAGATTGTCCTCAGAAAGATCCTGCCTCGCTGAGCCTGGCCCATGCTTGGTGCTCTATAAATTAAGTCCCCCTTGAGTTGGAATGCATTTATAGCTCTTAAACATGGCTGCCTGGTGTCTCTTCTCAAACGCATGGGTCTGTGCTCCGTTCTCAACAAGACCCCTCGAAATTATTTTTTCCCTCTTCCCCTTGTTACCTTATAAAAGCCTCCGGCATGGGACAGGCAGTCATAGATCATCCAGATGCACTTAATCGCTAAGATGCTTTCTGGCAGCCTCAGAAACTAAGCCAGAAGCCTGAGTGAATGATGTGGAGGTCACTCAGCCTTGGCTGTTTTCATTGTACCCAAGAAGAAAGGAGGTTTTCATAATGAAAGGATTCCTGCCAAAATCCTGTTTGCCACTTGCAGCTCTTACAGAAAATGGACATAAAATCACAGAGCATTAGTGCCAAGAGGGCCTGCAGAAACCATCTGGTTTAAGCTCCTGAAGTGCAGAGATAGGGAGTGACTTAACTAAGATTGCACAGCCTATTAGCTTTATCACCATCCATTGGTAACTCCTCTCCCCCAAGAGATGCATTAGAATCTAAAAGAAAGTAGGAATTCTAATCACACCCCTTAGAGACTTGCTGATTTGCTTTGTCCGACATTAGCATTTTTATTGCACGATTTTATACCAAGCAAAGGAAACTCATTCATGTCTCCCAGAAACTCCCAATTTGGGTATTTGTTGTTTGGCCACTACAAAATGATAGAAGAGAAGCAGGTGAAAGCATATGCCACACAACACAGTCCAGGCAATGGCGTTCTCTCAAGATGGTGAGTGTCACCGAGTTGGCAGAGAGATAGGAACATATGTGGAAAGACAGCAGCAGCGGTGTTAGATGTTTTGTCTAGCTTCTGAGTACTTTGGAAGCCAGACTCTGTGTGGACCAGTGACCTAATCATAGAAACATTTGCCTATGCTGTCATCAGTTTTCTTGGAGAACTGCTTCTTACCTTGCAAAGTCCCTCTTCCTCATGCATTCAGGTACAAGAATTAAACATGGCAAAGAGCGTAAGCTTTGTTCCAGATTATACAAAGTCTTGATCAGAAAGTCTATAGAATACTTGGGGTTTTTTTGTTTGTTTGTTTTCCTTTTTCTTTCTTAGCTGAGCCATCCTGCCACCTGTTAGCAGCTCAGCGGCAGCTCAGCTCAGGCCGGGCCTCGAACCGCTGTTGCTCCGAGCTCGCACTCTTGAGCGAGCTCTTAACCAACTGAGCCACTTGGATGGCCCTCCTAAAATACTTGATGTTTAAAAATTAGAACTACTGCATTTTAGAACAGTAAGAAAACTGAGGACCAAAGAGGGAAGGATATATTTTTGGTTGCAAGTGATAAGAACCTAACTCCAATGAACAAAGCTAAATGGGGGCTTTATTAGAAACATATTATTGAGGTATCTAACAGAACCAGAGGAAGAGGTGACCAGCCAAACCTCAAGAAGCCAGAACCAGGGCAGAGAAAGCCACAGGACACATTCTCTCATTTTATATCTATGCTTTTATGCTTTTCTCTGCATTTCTCTTATTTTCTCTTACTACAGAGCAGCATTCTACATCTGGGTTGAGGCTAGGCCATCACACATCCTCACATATATCCCACTCTAAAGGAAAGAAAATAGCTCCAATTTTATTTTAAAATCCTAGGATAGGATTCTGATTGGCCCCACTTGATTACATGCCCCCTTTACTGACAGTCTTCATTGGAATCACCTGGTTTTGAGGAGGAAGTAGTAGTACTACAATAGAAAAGGTGGTTATTTCCTGAAGAAATGCAGAGAGACATGATAGCTGGCTATTACAGGAAATGACTAACTAGGCCCTACAGCAAGTTAGGGGCAGATTCAGGGCTAAAAACAAAATCAATAAAATAATTATTAATAATAATGGAAGGCTCTGGATTGTATGGTATTGAAGTAAACTTCAGTGTTACTAAGCTATGCATTCATTTATATTTCTAAAAGATTGCTGTTGTGATGAGGATGCACTGTAGGGTAACAAGTGTGGAGTAGGCAAACTAGTTAGGAGCTCTGTGGTAGCTCTGTAGGAGAGAAAAAATGGTGGTTTGGACCAAGGTCAAGACAATAGAGATGGTAAAAAAAAATGGAGACTTGAGATCTACTTTAGAAGTAGAATCATTGAACTTCATGCTGGATTAGATGTAGATACTAAGAAAAAGAGGAGAATAAGGAATTAAAGATGACACCTAGGTTTCTGTGAAGATTAGGATTGAAATAAATTTGGGGCAGAGTCAACAGTTCCAATGTGGACACGTTAGATTTGAGACATGCAGATTTCTAGTAGGAACTTGTGTATGCATGTCATTACCAGACTTGGCATCTAAAGCTTCAGGACTAGATGAGGTCTCCAAGAAAAGAGTATAGCCAGAGCAGAGGGCTTGGCAGTTCTCTGAGCCATCTTTTCTACATATACTGAATCTGCTGGGCTTCTAGCCAGAAACTTCAGGTGGGAATGCCAACCATTTATTATGGTAAAACCCATGGAATGAGAAGCCAGACTCATCCCTCAGGGAGTGGCTAAGAAGTAAACAAATGAACTGCTAAACAAGCATCAAAACTTATTCATCCAGATATGCCTTGATTCCTCCAAAGTGAACCCTTTGGACAACTAAAGAAATGATGCGACTGCCCTGCTCTAAGCCATTTTGACATTTTGCTTTGGGGACTATCTTCAGAGCCAGGTTTTAATACCCATGGATATTTACCAGACTTATTTTCAGGTGACTAAGGGTTGCTTCACTTGGTAGACTGAAAAAATGGCCGCAATAGTTTACAGCTCCTCCCATCAAGAAATGGCACCTATTTCTCCATCCCTTAAAATTGGGCTTGGCCATGTGACTTGCATTAGTCAGTGGGACAATAGCAAACATGATACAAAAGGAGGCTTGAAAAGTGCTTCTGTGTTGGAGCTTGCCCTCTCTTGCTGCTGGGAAAATTTCCACCACTATGTGAACAAATCTGGGCAGTTTTCTAGAGGATGAAACCACTTGGAGAGAGCCCTCAACCACCCCTGTCATCTCAGCTGGACCCCCAGACATGTGAATGAAGCCAATCTCGAGTATCCAGCCTCAGCCAGAAGATTCATCCAACCAACCCACAGAATCATGAAAAATAATAAATGTTTGTTGTTTTAAGTCAGTTAAGTTTTGGAATGATTTGTTATGTTCCTCAGAGGACAATTAACTCTAACCAGGCAGTCTGAAGATGTTTCACAGTACAGATGTTCTTTCTCTCACCACTAGTCTTTTGGGAGGATTTGTACTTAGTCAGCCAGCAAACGTTTGAACTAAGAAATGAAAGCTGAATTGAAGAATGCGAAGCAATGGCCAGTGAGTAGTGAAGGTATTTGAGGGCAGTGGAGTCTTCCTAGGGCCCCTGAAACAGCTCCACGAAGGTGATTCAGGATTCCCAGTTATGTGTTTTCATAGAATGATGTACCTTTCCTATAGAGCACTTTATAATTATATTGGGGTGATTACTTTACAATGTCTAGGATAAACCACAAGCTGCTAGACTATAAGCTTCACGAAGACAAGGACTGTGCCTGATATGCCACTGATTGTATCCTGGCACATACTAGGCACTAATTTGTTGAATGACTACATTTGAGTTTTGCCTGCTTCACATAAGGGATCCAGGCCTTCAAAAGCATCATTTAACACTATTTGAATCTCATGGGCCTGTCTCTCGCACACACTCCCAGTCACAGGCTGCTGTTTGATTCACCAGCGGTGGCAGGTAATCAATCCAATGCAGGTTTTGGATGAGGAATCTAAAATCCAATAAGATCCCAAGATACTGGTTGCTGTAATTCCTTCCCCTTATTCCAAACTGTTGGCAAACAAACATTCTTCAAGACACACTAAGAAACTAGATACCCAAACTAGGAACTTTGGGGCAGGAGCAGGTGATGTGAGCGAAGCAGTACAGCCTGGAGGGTGTTCATATCATTCTGTGGATGTTACAAGGGTGCAGACACAAAGCAAGTGTGAAACCAATGTCCAACTGAGGTTATTTAATAAACTCTGAGAACCTTGGGAACGTGTCACCATCACCACCCCATGTACCCTTCATCTGAGAGACAATCTGAAGAGGAAAATTGAGAGAGCATGAGTCAGATAGAGGTGAGTTCAAATAATCCTAGTGTGTAGCTAAGGCAAGTTAACTTTTACCAGGCTACGTATTCTTGCCTGCCAAATGAGGATAATAATATCTTAGAAACACACTTCCATTAGACTGTAGGTACCTTGCAGGCAGGGATCATTTGTTTTCATCTTTATTTATCAAATAGGTAATAGTGCCAGGCCCATCATAAATATAGAATAGGTGAATTTTTTCCAGAGGTGATCCAAGACCTAGTCCTGGGTCCACTACAAATGCCCTCTCAGGGTGACCTTAGGAAATTTCCTCCCTCTCTCTGAACCGCAACCTTCCTTCTTGTAAAACAAGGGGCCTGGACAAGATTTTCTCTAAGCTCCCTTCCAAATTTCATATTTGACGAGTCTGTGACCATTCAGTACACTCTACCCCATTGCGGCCTTTAGAAGTTAATAATGCTGCAGACTAAGGAGACAATAATAGTCACGAATCACTTTGTATTTACAGATACACATGCATTTAAGACAAATTCTATAAATAGCTACAATACTGTATTGCACGTTTGGCCTACTTTCGCCTCTTTAGAGGTCAAGAGTTGTTGTTGTTCTTTAATCTTCTTTTATTTGGATTGTTAAATAAGATGAAAGCCAGGACAAGTTGCCACTAACACATATTATGCAGCTTGAACCTTGGTGGCTAACTGCGCTATTACTGTGATTGATGAACATTTCACTGCCATCAGCTGGAAGCTGCTGCCTTCCACTCGGCAGAAGCGAGGTCACAGAGTAGGGCTGGGGAATTGCCAGCTAACAAGCAGGTCTGTTTGTCACCAGTAGAAGAGTTTGCCACTGTTACATTTAACTCTTGATTCTTTCTGTTGTAAAGGTGCTTGCTCCCTTGAACTGGCTCCTTAGTTTTAAAAAATTTGACAGTTAAAAAAAAATTTTTTCTCAATCTTTGCTTGGATACTCAGTAGGAGAGAAAAGATTATTTGCTATATGTACTAAAATACCCAGGGGTCATGAGGAGCTCAGTCTTAAACCCTGATAGTAGGATTTTACTGGATGTTACTGGCCAGAAAAATAGCAATTATCCCTGACTCGTATGGGACTTTACAGTGTAAAAAGCACAGCCAGAACCACTGCCTTATGAAGGGACCACGTTCTTCCACGGTCAGAGAAGTTGATCAAGTCACTTCCCCCAAATGCCCCATTGCTAAAGCAGGGAGGCTGTTTCAAAGTACTGCCTGAGAGCTCAGTAAGAATTGCCTGACAGAGGCAGGTACAGGGAAAGCCACGGCTTGGGCCTGAGAAGCGTTGGGCATTTTCAGTTCAGGCCCATGGGACCTGGTTGCCTAAGAGACTGACTGCTTTCCAGAAGTGTTAGACATTCATCACCTCAGATTAGTCTGAATCGTTGAACAATCTATTAACAGATTAGGGACATAAATGTTAGAGTAGACTTGACATCTGATGGCTTTGGGATTGAATCCTAACATAGCTCTTACACTTGCTAGTTGTGCAATTTTGCCACATCCCTTAACCTCTTTGGATCATAGTTTATCTATAAAAAATGTAGCATACAATGTGAAGAGCACAGACCCTGGAGCCTACTGCCTTGATTTGAACCCATTTTCTATCATTTACTCATTGTCTGACTTTAGGCCCCACTAGAAAATTTCTTTGTACCTTAGTTTCCTCATCTTTAAATGAGGTTGATTATAGTGCCTCCCTCACAAAGACGTTGGGAAGATAAATGAGTAAATACAAGTAAAGTGCTTGGAACAATGCTTAGTATAGAATAAGTCTGACATCAGTGTTAGCTATAATGACATTGGGGTGATAATCCTCACCTCTAGGGTTTATTTTGCAGATCAACTGAAATGATGAAGATGAAACAAAGAGTTATTAGTGCCAGAAGGGACCTGTAAGATTACCCAAATAACCCCCCGTCATTTTATAAGTGGGAAATCAAGACTTAGAGATGGGGAGTCACTAGTCCAGAGTCACGCTTGATTTAAGGAAAGAGTGCAGGCCTCTTGATTCTAAGGCCACAGTTCTGTCCTCTGCACTGCATCAGGGAAAGCAACATCTCCATAAGACTGATTCTGGAGGGTTACTTTGATGTAGTCCATTGGACCCGTTGCTATTTAATGCACTTTCCTAGGACAATGAGCTGCATTTGAAATGGACAGGAAACTTGGAAGAGTCTCCTCTCTCCCCCACTGACTTTTGAGGAGGTATGTTAGTACATAGGGAAGCTGGGGATTCAGGCCAGTGCTGGGAGGAAAGATTTTTAAGAATCATCACTAGTTCCGTGTCATTATTTCAGCTAAAAAAACCAAACATTTGCTGTGTCCAAACAAGCTAGAATCACGAGCTAATCCATTCAGTTTGTTTCACAGGGTTTTGTTTTTTGTTTTGTGTGTGTATGTGTGTGTTTTCAGGTATGTAATTAAGCGGTTTCCACCAGGAGTGGTTTCACATCTGATTTTTGGTAGAAACTAAGGTTTTACTTCCAGAAACATGAGGTTGAGATTGGGACATCTGAGTTTAGCTTTCCCAATTTTGTCAGGGTCATGCCCTCCCCTTAGATTTATTCTGTTTTGAATCACATTTTCCAGTTGGACTATTCAGGAGTGATTGAAAGATGGGTTGGAAGAAAACGCAGGATAGGGAGAGACCCTATGTAGAATGGCAGATGAAATTAGAACTCTTTGACATAAAAACGACAGATCCCAGGGATCACAATTTCTGTTCTTCAGTCATCTAAGGGTGTCAGGGGGCAGAGGGAGCAGAGTCTGTGAGGTCTCTGACAGCAGAGCTGATACAAATTGCGTGAGAAAAGGAAGAATTTCTAGGAGGCAGATTTGAGCTTAAAGCAAGGAAAACTTTCTGATTATGAGAGCTGCCCAGAAATGGTGTGGACAATGAGCTCTCATCCCCAGAAGGTGTGCTTTAGAGGAAGAGATTTGGTTGTGAGGCCTGACAGCCACCTGTCAGAGGATTGTAACTAGTCAGGCTAGGTCAAATTTGGGATCCTACCACACTAAATTTTCCAGATCCTGGGAGTCTAAGAACTAGTGACCAATTTCATAAAGTTCCCATTGTTAAGAGCCAGCTGGAAAGCAGCAAAATCAGAAACCATGTCCAGTTTCTTTATCTTGCCTCTGTTTCTCTTTTTCTTTATCTTCCTTGAGCTCCCTCGCTTGCTCTTTCATATAGAAGGAAAATTTGACATTTTGCAGGGAATAATCTTTTTCTTTCAAGTGTGTTTCTGACTCAGCCTTTGCTCCCTCAGCATCATTAGAGAGTCTGAGCTCTCTGGAGATTAGCTCTGGCCTGTCACCACAGCAACTGCCCAGGCCCTGTGGGCATCCGTGACAACAGGCATAGGGCTTTTAAAGCCGATGCTTGACTTGAGGTGAGAGGAAGCCCCACAGGGAACCTGATATGAAACAAGCATGTTCTGTATAGGGAGGTTTTCTTTAATTGGATTAGTTTTGTGCAGGTGGGCCTCACTTTACACAGCTGGCCAGGCCTGAAAAGTATGTGTGTGTGTCAAATTTTGGTAAATGGAGGAAATCTTATTTTAAAGGCGGAAAAAAAAATTGGTTTCCAAGTCCCTGTAGTGAATCCCCTTTGTAAAATGGAGTCTTCTTTTATAAAGTGACTCTCCACCCACATTGTGACCTGACTGTTAGTCTAGTGCTGAGTGTCTAAAAGTGGGATAATCTGCAGAGAACCCCAGGGGCATGCTTCCACCTCCACTGCAGGCAATGAACGGCAGCGGCTCAACAGGCTCGGGACTGGGGGTGGACAGAGTGTAACTGGGGAAGCCGGGTGGGTGTGGGGCCACAATGAGGGGACAGCGGGAGGCTAGGCCTTGCCTAGCAGGAGCAGCTCTGCTGCAGCAGCGGTGGGGTGTCTGACAGACGGGTGTTCTTGGAGGTGCCCAGCACAGAGGGGTCCGTGTCCAGCGAATCAGACATCTTGTCACAAATGGCATCCACCAGGCACTCAAAGGCCTGCCTCACGCTGATGTTCTCCTTGGCACTGGCTTCAAAGAAGTCAAACCCTGAGGAGAGAAGAGGGATACAGGTAAGGTTTTCCCCTTCCCTTTCATGTGCCCTGGCCAGAAAACTGGATAAATACAGCCAGTACTCAGGAGTGAAGCAGAGGCCTAAAGGCAGAGGATTCTGCTTCAGCGGGGTGGTACACGGCAGTGATTACCTGCCCTGGCTTTAGAACTGGACACATCCTGGCTCTACCACTAGCCAGCTGTGCAACCCCCAGAAAGTTACCGAATCTCTTTATGAATCAATGCCCTGGTTTATAAATAGCAATAACTTTACCTATCTCATAGAAGTACTTCAAGGACTAAAGAAGATAATGCATGTAAAGTATATAGCCCTGTGCCTGGGTCATTAGGGGGGTCATTAGGTATATTTTCTGATAGAGTGAATGCTTCAATATGTACACTCAGTGCTTCACAGTTTCCAAAGCACTTATCACATCCATTATGTCATTTGATTCTCCGGTCACGCAGGGGGAAGGATCGTCCAGGCAGACCCTCCCCATGTCACTAATGTAGACACTGCAGATTAGAGAAATATGCTGACTTGCCCAGGATAAGTAGAGGCACCAGTATGAGAAGCCCAGGCTTTAGTTTTTTTGACCAAAGCTTTTATCCTTCTCTTTCCTTTGCCTCCCACTCACCCCAACCTGGCCAGCTCTAGTCCGGTCTCTGGGAGGCACCCCAAGACCCACACTGAATAAGCAAAGCTCCATTTGCCCTTTCTACTCACAGACACACTGGCTTTTCTCCACTAAATGGGGTTCCTCCTCCCTGAATTGCCCTAGAATTCCCCTGAATCGTTCCCTCCCCTCATAAATGCAACAAAAGGCCCAGAAAAATCTGTGCCTAACGCATGAGACATTCTTGTCTGTTCTGTACCTTGAGATCCTTAACAACGCTTTCTGTGATGATGACTAGAACTTGCTTGTCCCAGGAGACATAAGAAAGGTCCTCCTGATTCAGACAAAGTGGCTGCTTCCCGTCTGCGGAATCTTGGCCAGGTTGGTGGCAGCCCTTAGAAGCATAAGCCACCTTCTCTCTCACTTCCTTGGCCCAGCCTACTCTCTCCTCTCGTTTGTTTATCTTTCTCTTTCCCTTCCTTCTGAATCTATCTTTATTTATCCTCAAAAGCTTCTTTCTTCCGTTTTTTTCACTTTAGCTCCTTCTGTTTCCCTTACGTTCCTCGCACTGTCTCCTTGGGACCCTTACTATTTACTGAGCACCTACTATGTGCCAGACTCTATGCTAGGAGCTTTACAAATATCATCTTACTTATTCCTTATAGCAGCCTGTTTGGTAAATATAAATTTATAAATGAGAAAATGAAGGCTCCAAGAGATTACATAACTCATACAAAGTCACATGGCTGTATCAGTGGAAATCGGGTTTAGATCTGGGTTTGGCTGGTTCCCAAGTCCATACACAGCCTGGACTCCCATTTCTTCCTCTTTCTCGCTTTCATTTACCTTCCCCGCACCCCCCACCCCCCGATTATATCTTTTTCTTCCTTTACAATTATCTTTGGCCTCCTCTGCTTTTCATCTGACTACCGCAGTGTCTGAATCTGGACAAGTCACTTCATCTTTCTGAGTCACTTAACCTCTCTGAATCTCAAACTCCCTGAACTTATTCCCCGACAGGAATAATAACTGTCTTCCAGCTGAGAGCGATTGGGAGGATTGAGTGAGGTGATGGATAAAGTGCTGTTCAAAAGTTGCCTGTTATGATGGTTTCTTTCTGCTCTTCTTTCATCTGCTCCTCTCACCTCCCTCTTTTTCTTTCTCCCTCTTTTTCATCTTCTCTCACAAAGGAGGGGGGTCTCTTTCCCCCTCCCTCCTATCCCACTGTCCACAAAGAAGGCTGAAGCCCCCAGGTACAAACAAGGCTTCTCTTCCCCTGGCCATTCCAGCTTGAAGACACTCACAACTCCTGCCAGCCCACCTCTAGATGACAGTTTCTCCGGTGGCCCATTTCCTGATCTGAGAAAAAGGCAAGTTGCAGAAGTGCCTGCTAATTGTGGGCATGTGATGAAGAAGGAGACAGCTGCTGGCTCATTATCCTCAAGCTGTAGAAACCTAGTCAGCTTCAGAGACCCTTTAGCATATAGCTTTTCCTTAATGAATATCATAAAAAATTGACTCTCTGGCCTTTGGCTGGCTTATTGTGACAGTGTTAGGGGACAGGGGCTGTTGCTTGCCTAGGAAAGGTGCAAACAAGTAAAGAAATAAATAGGCTTAAACTATCAGTTTAGATGAAGATCAAGGCCAGGGGCACAAATGCCTTCTGAGGAACTGGCATTGAGGGGAGTACATGCCATGTTGTGCAGACGGGCAGTGGGAAGAGGTTCAGGAGTCAGATAGCCTGGATTTGAATATAGTCTCTGTCAGTTACCAGCTATGTGACCACAGGCAAGTTGCCTAACCTCTCTCAGTCTGTTCCCTCATCTGTACGAGTAGAACGGAGTGACTATTACCTACCTCATAAGGTAGTACTGAGAATTAAATGCACAAAAGTATGTGATGTGATTGGCATGTGGAATACATGGCAATCCCCTTTCCCTTATGTTCCCAGCTCACCTTAGTCCCAGTTCCTTCCCCCTGCATTGTCTCCCAGGACCTTTGGGGGAACCCTCATTTTCTTCATCACTCATTGTCAATAACTCAGGTCTTTTATTGAACACTGGCTTTGTGCCAGTTCTGGTGTTGAGTGCCAGCGACAAAGGAAGACCAAATCTAATTGTGGGGAAAAGACACACTAATCAGAGTGTCAATCCCTCATATGTGCAGAGTCCTTAACAGTTCACAAATACAATTTTAAAACAAACGTGTGGGGGCTGGGGTGAGTCAAGAGTTATGGCTTGTAATTTACAGATAGGGAAACCGAGGCTCAGAGATGGGGCATAAGCCAGGGCCCTATCCCTTAGGTCCCCTTGTCCTGCTCTCAGCTAGAACACTGACAGAACACACTCGAACATTTCTAACCCAGGTAAAGCAAACCAGAAGCTGTGCAGGAGTGCAGTGCAGAGAGAGAATGGCAGAGGAGGAGAGGGAGAGGAAGCTTCCAGAAGTTAGTGGGATGGGAGCCTTTAAGGCCAGAACCAAGCAAATCTCTTCACCTAACTAACTTCTCATTCTTCAGGACTCAGCTTAGCAAGGGCCTCTTCATTCTCCTCTGTGCTTCCTTCTGCCATGACACATGTTACCCTCCAAGGAGAAGTCCATTTGACAGGGAGCTCCCCGAGCAGGAACCGTGTCATCCATCTGAGCCCCTGCCCCAGCTGAAGTAGGTGCTTGCTGAGTGCTGGCTGAATGAACAGATGAACGAAGGAAGTTGGAATGAGCATGGAGGATGTGTTTGAGGGGATGTGGACGGTGGAGGGTGGGGGTTGGGCGGGTTATAAGAACTCAGCTCAACAAGCATGGCAGATCCTGTGCTGTGCACTGGGGACACTGAGGTGAATCAGACACAGTTGCTACCCTTAAGAAACTTCTAGTCTAGTGTGGGAGAGATATAGTGACAATATTATTGTGGTAAACGCTGCAATGGTGGGCAGCCAGGGGACTGTCAGGGCACAAAGGAGGTACCTAAATGAGCCTGCAGGCCAGGGGAGGCTTCTTAGAGAAGCTGATTCCTAAGAAGATATCAGCTAGATAAAGGCATGTGATTGTGAGTGTGTGTGTGAGCACATGCATGTGCACATACCACGCAGGGGAAACAGCCTGTGCACAGATAATGGGCAAAAAAATAGCCTTGGTATATGGTAGAATGACTGTAGTAGTTTGTTATCATTAGAACAAAAAGCTCAAAGTGGTGAGAGATGAGGTGGTAGGTGGCCAAACACGGAGAGCTCATATGTCATGCCGAGGCCATGTCTTCACTGTCATCTCAAAGATACCCAAGGTGTGAGAACTCTGATTTAAGTAATTAGCTCATGCGCCCAGCCAGCTCATAGGTCTCTTTTGCTAGCGGAACAACTCCAAGTGCACTCCACTCCCCAATTTACTGTCAGTCTCCTGGAAGATTCTTCATTAGTAGGCCCACATGATAACCTTTTCCTCAGGTTCATTAGTAAGAATTCTCAGGAGCTGAGAATCTACTGAGGTCAGAAAGATGATAACCAATTAATCAGACTAGCCCCCCTAGTCCTTTCCTACCTTTAATTGGTTTCAGAATGATGGGATTTCTGCTGTCTTAATAGGGCCCAATTCTTAACTGGATCTGACATGATTCCTTCCACCCCAAAATGAGTGTATTTACCCATCCAGTCCAAAGGCAGCTGTCAGAGACCCACAGACCCATAGACTACGTCCACACTGCCTGCTTCTGAATTTGACCTCAGATTTCTATTCAGAAATTTGCAGAGCGGGGTTGGGGACAGGGTGAAAAAGGTGAAGGGATTAAGAAGTACAAATTGGTAGTTATTCTACAAAATAGTCATGGGATGTAAAGTAAAGCGTAGGGAGTATAGTCAGTAATATGGTAATAACTATGTATAGTACCAGATGAGTACTAGACTAGTCAGGTGGATCACTTCTTAAATGATATAAATGTCTCACCACTATGATGTACACCTGAAATTAATATAAAATAATATTGAATGTCAACTGTAATTAATAAATTTAAAAAGGGAAGAAAAGGTGAAAGGGAATAAGAGGTTCAAATTTCCAGCTATAAAACAAATAAGTCATGGGGATACAATGTACAGCATGGGGAGCATAGTCAATAATATTGTGATAGCATGGTACAGTGTCAAATGGTTGCTGGACTTGTAGTGATCACTTCTTTAGGTATATAAATGTTAAATAACTATGGTGTATGCCTGATATAATATTGTATGTTAGCTATATTTTTTAATAAAAATCTTAAAAAAAACTCCACAAACTTACATCCAGCTAAACTCACCTCTTCTCATCCTGACACTGCCCCCAGAACATTACCCCTTCGCTTACATATTCAAATCTCTCTCCATCTTGCTCTGATACCTCCCCTTCTTCATATGT